CTGCACGATATTATAAATTATCATTGAAAAATGTCCAGAAATGAGAATTTTTTTAACTGCTGTAGAATAGTTTAAAGACTCGACTGCATATAAGGGTTATTATTTTTCCTATTCAATTATATCAGAAGTTTCTATGAAGCAGGCCTGTCCAACTTCTAAACAGCTGGAGGCTGTACCAGCATGACCCTCAGGCCACACACCATGTGGGTGCCCTTTCATACCCCACTCACACTCTGGCCTCAACCTCAGCTCTGCAGGCTGAGCTGCATCACACCACAATGCCTCCAGGGAGAAGGGATGGGGAAAGATGCAGGAAATGGAACCAGAGAAGGTGGTGAGTGTGTGGGTCCCTGTACCGACCGTGGCCCATGCAGAGGTAGCTGGCCCTCCCTGAATAGGTGGTGTGGGGGGTCCCTGCCTGATCCCCAGCTGTGCAACGTGTGGCTCCGGGGTCTAGGGGAGGGGGTAGAGCTCTCAGGCCCAGCCGTCTCCCAGGAGGGCGCAGCGTGGTGCTGTAGGCCAGAAGGGGAGACATTGAGGCTGGCCCTTGTGCTGGGGCGGGAGGTCAGCAGGGACACTGTCCATCCTCTTGGCTGGGCACACTCTAGCCTGGGGGGCAGGGGCAGGCACTGGGCTTGGTGCAGGGCATCACAGTGGCACTGCTCTCATCCTGTAGCTGTACCACGAAGCCCGAGAGTGCCTGACGCTCCTGTCCCAGCGCCTTGGGGCCCAGAAGTTCTTCTTCGGAGACTCGTAAGTACTGGAGGGCGAGCTGCTGGAGGGCATGGCCACGGGGCGGCAGCGGGCATAGGCAGCACTCTGAGCTGCAGGCACGGCTCGTGCTAGAGTCCTGGCCTCCTTGAAATGGCAGCTCCCAAGGGAAGCTCTGAGCATCCACAAGAAACCTCAGGACCATCGTGAGCAAAGTGGGGCTGAGCTGGGCCAACACGGCTGCCCTGTGAGAACGTGCCTGGGGGCAGCCAGCAGAGCCATTCCTCGCCACCTGTTGGGACGCCGCCATCCCGACGGGTCCCCTCCTCCCCTGTAAAACCACACCAAGCCCAGACCAGCCGTTCCCCCCACAGCAGCCGCGCCAGAGCCGGAGCCCTCAGAGGGCTGCCTTGTTTGCTCCGGCTTTAATGGCTCCATAACTGCCAGAGCCATAAATGGCTGCAGCTGAATGTGCCGCTTATTCAGCTCAAAGGGGCGGCTGCAGTGAGCGGGAATTACACGAGACAAACACATACTCACACGCTTGAGGAGAGCTGCTCCTGCCAGCCCTTGCTTTGGGTCCTGCTGGGAGAGGCTGCAAGCTCCTGGGGACTGTAGCCCAGCCCTGCGTCCCAGAGCACTTCGCTGGCAGAGGCCAGGCTGATGGGGCGCCTGTGGTGGCGCTAGAGTTGGTGTGAGCCCCCGGCAGCAGCAGAGGCAGCCCTCTGGTCCCCCAGTGACTGGGTGATGTGGGGAGATACGTAGGTGGATCCTCATGGCAGAGGGAGTGGGTCTGTGTCTGCAGGTGCCAGCAGCTTTGGGGTGGGCTGGCCAGGAGGGGCGACCAGGTGTCAGCATGTGCTCTTTGTGCCTCAGGCCTGCTTCCCTGGACGCCTTCGTCTTCAGTCACCTGGCACCACTGCTCAAAACAAAGCTGCCCAATGGCAAACTGCAGCAGCACCTGAAGTCCCTGGAGAACCTGTGCAACTACTGCACCTCCATCCTGAGCCTCTACTTCCCCTGGGACAGCGGTAAGCAGCCGGGAGCAGGAACCCTCCACCTCACTGCAGTGGAGGGAGGCCACGCGGTGCCTGTGCTGCGTGGGGACGAAGCTTCTTGGGCACCCTGGCGTCAGCCTGCGTGTGTGAAGCATCGGGGCGCTTGGTTGCCTGAATTGCAGCCATTCTGTGCCCAGATGCTGCCTCAAGGGCACTCACTGTGGTTGTCTCGTTGCCAGGTGATCCCCCGGCTGCTGCTCCCCGGACCTCGGCCCCTGAGGGCGGCGACTCCGAGGAAGATCCACACAAGCGGCGCAACCAGATCTTGTCGGTGCTGGTGGCCCTGGGCGCCATGATCAGCTATGCCCTGCTGAGTGGTATCGTCTCCATCCAGCGGACAGAGCCTCGCCTGCCTGGCCACCGGCCTATCTCCCTGGAGGAGGAGGAGGAGGAGGGGGAGGAAGAGGAGTGAGGTGCTGGCCTCTGGCTGCTGCTCTCAGGGCTTTGGTTCTCACTAATTTGGTGTCACTTGAATGGACTTTTGTATGGCTCTGGGCACCGCACATTGTGCTGGTCAAGGGCACGATATGGTCCCAGCCCCCTCTGCATTCCTGAGCGGTGCCCAGCTGCTGCCATCCATAGCGCCTACGAGGTGCTGGGAGCCCCAATAAACCCACGTTCTTTCTGCAGGGTATCTCTGTGCCGTCTTGTGCGGCTGCAGGGGGCTGCTTGTGTGGGACAGACTTTGTGCAGTGCAGTCTGGCGAGGGTGGAGCCACCCATCCACACGTGGCCCTGCCGGGCTCTGTTGGCCTCCATGCATCCTCTGCCTTTGGCTGCAGTCTCCATGCTGCCTCCTGCCCCTCCTTAACTGATTGCCCTATCAGCAGCGTTGCCACATCCCTGCTCTCTGCCTTCCTGGTGGTTGCAGGCCGCGCTGGGGCCGGTGACCGCTGCCACAAGCCTCCTGCCCCCTGGATGCTGGCTGTGCCTCATCCTGCCTGCTCCGTGCTGCAGGTGGCTGGGCTGGGGTCCCAGTGGTCCCAGGCTCATCCAGCTGGCAGATGCAGTGCTTCTCCCTGGCACCTGTGACTGGGGATGTGGGAGCGCCCTGGGGCAGCTCTGGAAGAGCGTGGGTGCCAGGGGCAAACCCAGGCTTGCCTGTGATCACAGGAGGCAGATGGGAGAGTGAGGTTTCCCTGCTCTGCTGCTGAGCCGTGGGTCCTGCCCTGACTGGCCCCACATGCCTACAGCAGCCACAGTGAGAGTCCCCCAATGGGACAGTGGCCGCCTCATCCCAGTGGTCGCTCCCAGGCCGGAGGAAGGCACCTCCACAGGTGAGCGACTCAGTCTTGCTACGTGCCCTGAGCTCAGTGTTGCTGCTTCCCCAAGGCTGTTGCCCCCAGTTCGGCCTTCTGCCTGCATAACTCAATGCTGGGCACACTCGCGGCTGTTTTGGGGAACTGGTGCCCGAGCATGAAGCACCCGGCGAGCTGCCTCTGCACCACTGAAGGGAGCTGGCACGGCTGGGGGATGCGTGTGCTTCCCCTCCTGGAGCTGGGCTGAGGCCGATCCCCGTCCTTTCCCCCTTCCTACAACCTGGGAGCCCCCAGGAGCATGAGAGGAGCAGGAAGCCCTTAACACCAGTCTTGCTGCCGCAGCGCAAGGAGCCTGGCTAGAGCCTCTGGCCTGTGGCTGCGTCAGGAATTCCTCCGGCAGCGGCAGCTCTGTTTGCATTCCTCGGCGGGAGTTCCTAGGCACTGGCACCGCCAAGAGCACGTAGGACGGGGAGCGCGGCTCCGACAGTTCTTGTGAGGGCACCAGGACACAGTTGGGGCCATGATGAGCTCACCCTGGGCCCCGTGTGCGTGGTGCTGCACATGCACAACAGCACAGCCTCTCCTTTGCATAGTGCTCAGGGGATTGGGCAGAGCAGTCATGCTGCTGGGGGTGGACAGACAACCCATTCCATGTGGCTGGGCTGCTCCTGGGGGGGCTGCCCGGCCAGTGCTAGCTCATCCCCACCCGCTCCCCCCTGCACCCATGCCTGGGCTCCTTGCTGCCTTGGGGACCCTACCTGAGGACGGTACTGGGATGTGCTTCCCCAGTGCTCGGGTTACCAGACTGCACGTGGAAAGCGGTCGGACTGCGGCTGACATCTGGCCTGGGCTGGGGCTGTTTGCGCTGGGGCGGGAGGGAGGTGCACACAGCCCTCCCTTGTTCTGCCTTGAGTAAACGCTCCCAGGAATCCTGGCCGTTGTGGCTGCCCCAGCCACTTTCCATGACATGCTTCCTGCGGGTTTGGCTGGCTGGAGACTCGTGGCTGCTGGTCCTGGTGGCCTGGCCAGGACAGAAGCTCTCCTCCTGTGCCCTACAGAGCGTCCCCCCCCAGCCATGTACTAGTCCTGGCATTGCCCCGACACCCAGCGCTTGAAGGCAGAGAGACCCTAGCAGCCTCTGCAGAGCACAGCCAGGCCTTGGGGCAAGGGCCACGGGCCTTAAGTACCCAGGCCCAGGCCCAGGGGCCATGTGCTGGCAGAGCCAGTGACTGCCCGACTCCGACCCCGGCATGCCGGGCTCCATTCCTGTTCTGGGTTCTGCTGAGCCTGGATGCAGCGCGTGGCGGCTGCGGGGGCCTTGGGCTGTTAAGAGTCCAGCCCAGCCCCAGGGGCCCGTCCCAGAGCCAGCATTCAGCAGGGTTCGGATGGGCGGGGGCTGGCCTCCGCATGCAGCCCCAGCCGCTCGCCTGGGGGGTCCCTTGGCTCGCCTGGCTTGCAGCAGGGCTGGCCCTGGCCCCAGGGGGAAGGATTCCCCTCCCCCCCAGGCTGCCCTGGATAACGTCACTTAGGAAGTATGTGCCGCATGCTCCAGCATGGGGGGAGCACGGCTGCCGCCAGCCCGGGGGATCTCGCTCCAGCATGAGAAACCACGGCGGCCCCGTTCTGTCTCTGGTCCTGGCCTTGGCCCCGGCCCGGCAAGCAAGGAGCGCTGACGTCAGGTCTCCAGGCGCATTCCCCGTCTGCCTGACTCCAGCCATCACCTTCCAGGCAGCCCCGCCCTGGCTACCCCTCCCTGGCACTGGGAGCTGTGGGCAGGTGCCAGCTCCATGGAGAGGAGCTCCATTGCCCTCTCGCTGACCATGAAACTGGCTAGCAGCATGGGTGGATGCAGCCTCGTAGAGGAAACCCAGTGACCAGCTAGCCAGGCCCAGCTCTAGCCTTCCAGCCATGCTGCTCCCACAGCTCAGATGACCCCTGCATGCCCTGCACTCACAGCTGCAGCTGCAGCCCACGCACTGCCACCTGCCTGAACCCCTGCAGCGGCTGCAGAGGACGGAGGCCCTAGGTGCAGTGCAAAAACCAGTTTATTTTATGAAAATGCCTAGAAAACAGCGGGCATTGTGGCCCTCACAGTTTAGAGCCCTCCTAGCAGCCCCCCCGAGTCATACAGGCCCCCCACCTGTGGCCAGAAAGCTGACAGGTGACATGGCAGCTCCATGGGGCCCATCCCCAAGCCCCTCCCTGGACGGACGGGGCAAACATATTGAGGGGTTTCAGTGTAGGGGGGCACCTTTCTCCTCCCCCTGTGCCTGTGGACCCCGGGGGGGCCTTCCCAGGTCCCCTTTCTGCCGCATCCACAGGTATGTCTGGACAGAATCAGCTGGAGCCTTTGCCTCAATGAAGCCAACGCCGGGGTCGGAGATCACAAAGGATATGTCCATGGGAGTCCTGGGGGGAGCAGAGGCAGGTCAGACCCTCCCTTGGCAGCCAAGGCTGGTCTGAGCCCTCCCCACGCTCCCATCCAGGGCTCCCGCACCCCGCACCGCTCACCTGTTCAGCACCACGACCACAGCGGCGCCATCGGGGCGCAGGAAGGCCGAGTACTCCAGGTCGCACTGGTAGCACTTCTGCTCTGTGGCCAGCCCCACACGCTGCGAGCCCTCGGGCAGGAACTTGCTGCAGAAATAAGGGCACAGCCATAAGGGTAGAGATGCGGGGGGGTGCCCCAAACTAGCTGCTGAGGCCTGGCCTGGGCCCTGATACTGGGACCACGTTTCATCCTGGGTGCGCAGAAGCAGCTGCACGTCTGCCCAGGCAGGGCCCCAGGGAGGCAGGTAGCAGGGTGGCCCTGGGATCTGCCATGTCCCAACACACACCATCTGCACTGGGGTGCACGTGGCCTCGCACATGGGAGTGCACCCAGCTAGTCGTGCACACGCCTCATCATACACGCGACCATGCTTGGCTTAGCACACAGGAGTCGTGCGCTACCTGAAGTGGCCCATGTGGTAGAACATGGGCTGCTTGTAAAAGAGGTCCTTGCTGCTATCTACGATGATGGGGCTGTCCACGTAGTTCTTGCTCCAGTTGGGGCCACCCTCCAGGTCCAGCGCCAGGTTCCAGTCGGTCCAGCCCGTGACGTAGTTGTTCAGGTTCTGCGGGGGGTGACATTGGTGAAGGGCGCTGCAGGGAGCTGAGCTCCTGCCCCCCTCCCTCAGCAGGGCACAGGCCGCCTGTGCCAGGGCCTTACCGTCAGGATGCTGTGGCTGTACTTGCTGCCACGGTCCCAGCCCCCCAGGATCACCCGGGGCTCCCAGAAGTAGGAGCCTGTGGAGGCCTCGGTGGACAGGAGGTAGTAGTTGGGGAAGAGGTGGTGGGTCATGGACAACGTGAGGTCAATGGGCGCCAGGAAGTCCAGGTACCAGTGGACGCCGATGCCATTGATGTAGCTGGCGGCCACTGGGTCCTTGAGCACCTGCAGCATGGCATAGGGGGGTCACTAGGGCCCTGCCTCTCCCATCCCCACGGGGCAGGAAGGGCCGGGCCATGTGGGGTGTGGGGGAGCCCAGCAGGACCCAGCAGCACACGGACTCACCACCTCAGCCCAGTAGGGCAGCATCACGCGCTGGTCATCAAGCATGATGAGCTGGATGCCCTTGTGCGAGCTGTTGGCCAGTGCGGGGCCCAGGTCATGGGCGATGAAGTCCCGCTGGTGCTCAGGGGAGAAGCCCAGACACTGGAAGGGGTAGAAGATGATCTCCCCGGCCGTGGGCTCATTCCCGGCCGTCACTGCCCAGAACGTCAGGTTGTGCTTGGCGTATTCGTCCAGGAACCTGGGGCAGCGCCGGACACGTGAGAAGTCATGGCCCCTCCACAGGCCAGGCCCCCCAGCCTGGGGGCAGGGCCCAGCCCCACTGCAGCCCCCGGTTTAGCCATACCCCGAGACCTCCACCCCTGCCTCCACTAGGATGCCCCTCACTTGATGAAGTAGTTGGCCCAAGTCTTGTGGTACTTGTCGCCCGGCTTCCCCTTCAGCGTGCCCCTGCCGGTCATGGCCCCATTGGTCTTCATCCAGGTCGGGGAGGTCCAGGGGCTGGCGTAGAGCAAGACTGGCTTCCGGGACATAGCCTGTGCTTGCTGAAGGATCGGGATCTGCAGGGTGGGAGGCAGGGGCTTGCAAAGAGCCTGGGGCTGCGGGGTGGGGCTTTCCCCTGTCCCAGCCCCAGGCATGGGCCTGAGACAGACAAGACCAGCCTCCCCCCTCCAGTGAGGCAGCAGTCAGGACCCCCAGGCTCCAGACATTTTTTTTTCATTTAAATTTTCTGTATTCCAAGCCACATTTGCCAAATCAATTCCAAAGCAGTCAGTCTAGAACCGTAAGTGGCCGTACTACTGGCAAACATCTTCCACCCCCA